AACGGCGCAATTTGCTGCATAGATAATCCATATATGCATAAAGATCACCTAAAAAGACACAAACAAGAGGGAGAGCTTCATCTTTCCAATATTCAATGTTACACTCAGACCGAAGAAAATTCAAAGAGCTCCAGCCTTACAACATCTAAAGCTTAAGCGAAGTTTTAAAAGTTTTATGGTAGATAGGGAGGCGTCATTTCCAACCTACTCCCATCAGGGACCAACAATAATGCCCAGAGACATTCTATCATGTTTATGTACCGATGCACCCGTGTATTTCAGCTAAACACTGATCCATACACAGATGTTTACAATATCGTCGGATTGGTACAACTGATGGGAAGGATCTCGTACCGCTTTTATTCCATACTAAACTGAAAAGCAATAATACTCTCAGTTACAACCTAAATCGGCGTAAAGGCAAATCAGTGTATCTACAATTTAGAAAATGAAACTAAAAACTGTTTGTGGCGAAAATTCTTCCGTAACTGCGTCACATTCATTTCCGTACAGTCCTACCTAACGCTGTGCAATATCATATAATATGTCATTGATCTGGTTAGCTACCTGCAGGGTGATTCTACTTCCGATGTCTATCCCGCACCTCTAGGTCCAAACTAATCCGGTTTTCGCCAAACAGTCGAGGAGAATTCATGTTAGTCATTCAATGTAGATTATTAAGTTGTAGATAAATCTCGTTGCCTGGTACACGCACACGCATATTATTTCTTAACAGGTGAGTGTGGGCTACACTTCGCATTACAGAGGTGCGTCTCTTGAATCCTGATTATATTTCTAGGTTTGTCAGCACCATGTTCCTGGGTTTCATCAAACATGGTAAACGTCTGAAACCAGCATCAGTTTGGGATTTCCTCCCACGTTGAGCTACATGCCGCGACTTAAATGTAATACAAAGTCATCGATCTAGTCTGAATATGTACTTTAATGAGAAAGTGTAAGCCCAAATACAACCTGTGTTACATTTGACCTCTTTCAAAATGGCATTGTGTATTCATTATGTTCTTTTGTGGTTGAATGGCCTATATCGCTGAATATTGCTGGCGATTAGGTACCTAACTCTGAGAGCGTGGGTTCGAACCCTTGATGGGACTCACCCCAAGAAGTACTAGACTCTGTACTTTAATGAGAAAGTGTAATAAAAATATAACATTTAATTCATTTGACCACTTCGTAAATGACAGCGTGTATTCTGGTCAACACACTCCCTGTCACCCCTTCACCAAATACTCCGTCAGGTTTACGTTTGGAGGTCCGAAAAAGATGCATGTTGCACGACTCAAGTCCGAGCTCATGGCATCCTGTCCCGATGGCGTGGATCGTTGTTCATGATATCAGTCATTGGTTTGCCTGATGTTGGCACAATCGTCAACCGGCAATTATGCTATAGCTGTACTGGTTTTAAGTGAAAAAACTAAATGCAAACGGGTTGCCAGACATTCATTCCATCAAAAAAACACACCAAAAGAATGGTTCTTTTTAATTTGCGACAACGAGAACGGGCGATCGGAATGATCGCAATGGGAGCCTCCCACACCCATGTTGCAAGAGTGCTTGGTTGTCATCACATCACCGTCACCAGACACATGCAGCGTAACGTCAGACAGGACTGACCCCAGGCAGACCTCGAGTCACAAGGCCACAGGAGGACCAGTATTTTCGCACGCTAGCGCTGCATCTTAGAAACCGCTTCCTGACGGTGACATTATCAACGGCGCATGGCTTGGGTTACCGTGTTAGCGGACACACAACAGCCAGACGACTGAGGTCCTATGGAATCCGGGCTTACATACCTTTACTGGGACAGCAGTTGACAACCGAACATCGTCGAAGGAGACTTAGATGGGCCCGGACGGTGGCAGCGACGTGACTGGCAGAGGGTACTCGCCGGATGAAAGCTACTTCCCTCTGTTCACTTTGTTTTATGGATTTTTTTTGGTTATTTCACAATAGGGTTTTTAATCTATGACAGCGTTTCTTTAGCCCTTCAGTTTATGTAAAATAAAATTCACTCACGCAAGCCGTAACACCTAAGCAAATATTGTATAATATGAGAAAGTCTTGGTAACGAATATAGTCAAGATTTATTTGCTGCGACTTGTGATCAGTAACAATATATAATAAACTCATAACGCACAACTACTCTGTCAGTGTAGGACACCCGAAATTACATGTAGACATGACTCTCAAAATTGGACATTATTCTTGTGTGAGACTTTGTAACAATAACGAGGTGCCCATTAAACATTTCAACAGCACTATTTCCTATAAACAATGTAACATGTGAATGTCCTGTACATCAACAGTGCACCACGATAAATATTTATAAACAAATTGTGGTCAGTGACGTAGGACAATGATACTCATGACATCATAAATGTGACGTCACATAAACGCTAATTGTGCTCTGTCGTTTTGAACGCACAGAACAGTCACATAACACACGAGTAAAATTTAACGGCGCACTGAACTTGATTTCAATCATGTTACGTCATGTCAGAATACGGAAGCTCAAAGAGTCATCACTCAGACGTTGAGGTGAAGCTCGTGATCAGAACCTGACTGACCAAGGATCACAATCGGGATCAGCATTGAATCTAAAATCACAACCGGTGTACCCTGGCCGTCTCGAACAACACTCTCATACAACACAATAAATATTTAATAGAGTGCTATTTGAAACGAGAGGAAAAAGGCTTTTCACGCCATGAGCCATGAGCTATTTTCGTGTTGCGCATCGCCTAATCACTACCGAGTTACTATGAGGGCCAAGGGAAAAGAAAATGTGTTTAATTTCCGCCGACCCGGTCCTCGACTAAAATAATGTAGATATTAGTGGAAATAGACAATGCTTTTTGAAAACCAACTAGCAGTACGACCCGAACATTGAACTCAGAGATTAGAAACATGAAGTTAACGTCATTGCTTTTATGATGGCGCCGGAAATTGATATAGAACCCCTCCTCCCCTTTCAATGTCTTGGTGACAGTATGTTGACAGATCTACGATTCTACGACATCTGAACAGAATAATGTTTCCTAAAACAGTGCGTAGTGGCTGCAATTATTAGTACAATAGGGTTACAAATTGCTAAACATATTTTAAAGATAAAAATATCGATTAAATGGAAAAACGTTATTCTTTTATACTGATTAAAACACGATGTTTCATTAAAATCATTGACGTTCCAATGTTCCCTATAATAATACGTAGAAGGAATTTCGGCGCGTGAATGTGGGTCTCCCTGTTCCAGACTCGACTATTCACAGGCCACTGCCATATGAGAGGAGCTTTGTTGCAATGGCGGATGAGATTAAACAGAACATGCTTAACCATTCGCGAAGGCTTGGTGTCACTGACTTTCAGTGATCCATTCATAAAATTTTGATGACTGGTTTGCCTTTTAACTTTTTTGAACAGATAATCCAGACTGATTATTCTCTGCCGTTTACGTTCTGTATTTTGAAATGAATGTATGAATTCTGGAACAGTATTCCAGTCATGCCACGGCATGTCAGCGGAAGAACGAGATGGCGTAGGTCTAAGACGTTTTAGTTGAACCACCAGCTCGGGTCTGATGCTTACAACCTGAGAAACATAATCAAGTTAATCGGGATACGAACTTACATTTTTGAAACGTGCTCGGAACGCAACCCCTTAGATGAGCCCTTTGTGACGTTACTGGTAAACATTTAAGTTTAACAATTAAAGCTCTCCGCAATGACAATAACGAATGCTCCCGCCAAGGGATGTAACTCTAATGAAACCGCTCGAAGAATAAATATCCATGCTCAATTATCTCGTTCTTATTAAATGAAGAAGTAACGAAACATCCTTAACCCCTCCCAATAACACAAGCACACACAGTCCAGGCCTTATAAACTAAGGGTCTGGTTAAAGAGAAAATAAAACAAGAACAGAAAATGTACATATTACAATTATCGTGATAACGTCGCCTTTACCCAAATTAGGTTAATCCCTGTCTGTTTCATATTCGAAGTTTTATGGAAACAGTTCAGTCTAATATTCACGTACAAGCCACTGACAACAAAATGAATGCCTATGGAAATCCTGTGATTGATGCTAATCCTATACGCAGCCACATTAAACAAAGTGATAGGGTGGAGCAGACAATATCAGTTGACATTCAACAAACCAGATACTAGAATCAGGTGTAGGCGACGCAGGCACACAAAAACCGCCAGACACGCTAAGTAGCACTGCATCATAACACAACATCAAAGTCCAGGACAATAACACTCTCGGGCCAAAGTAACATCTGATTCTATGCAATGGCAATTCTGTGACTGTAGAGCAAGGCTTCATTGCCCTTTCCACTAACACTTAGTGTCATCGCTAAAACTCAGTGATCCATTCATATACTTTCCACAAGTACTGAGCCCTTTACACCAAATGGGATCTGTTTTCTGAGGACAGTAAAGACTGGGTATATTTTGCGCGGATGTTTCATATTTCCTCAACATTACATTAAGAAGTAAAACAAAACTTCAGGATACCTTTTCCTATCGCTACATGCTGTTCATCTGAATTATATTTGTACAACCAAATACATACTAGTTCAGGATCGGAAAGATCATTAAACGGCCTAAAAGCGATGGATCCATATGGTAATATACCATTCACACTTTGCTAAGGATCAAATCATGGATTCAACAGAAAACCATGATGTGGGGTCAAATTTGGTTCAAATATCTAAGCTTATTGTAAGCATGGATCTTAGGTTTCAGTATGTCATTTCATCCTGTGGATCCCATACCTGCTATTGACAGGTGTTGTGTACTTGTCAATGACTCGTTCCATGATTGCAAAATGGTTGCTTGGCGACATGAAACCATTTTTATGGTAACTCATGTATCAAGTGCATAAGGTTAGATTAAAGTGACTGTTTGCGTAAAGAGGGGTTACCATATTATTATTTATCCAATGTTAAATGGATACAATTTCAAATTATAAATCTACGTTTAAGTAAAGTTGTGAATTTTGTGATCCTTAGCAAAGTGTGAGTAGTATATTTGAAATTGTCAGTTAGACGCATGTGTCTGAGTGGTTTAGCCTCCTGTTGTGAACACGACACGCGCAGAATTTGAATATGTTTTCAGGCCTGTAGGACTTCTGGGTATCTCACACAAACGGACGCAAGACATAAATAAGCACAACACAGTCAGCCGAGATCACGGCGGTCGTCGATGGAGTTGATGGTGGACAACAACGTCTCGGAAACCGGAACGCTGAAACTGCGACTGTTCCGAAAGGTCACGAAGTCACTTCCTGACTGTAACTTTGGAGGACGGACACATATACAGTGGAGTTTCAAAAGCACAAGGCGGAAGTTTTCATTGAATTTCTTGTTCATCCACCAATAAACAAACGGGTTATAGGCGCAGCTACTCATGGACAGCCAGTGAGCTCCAACCCACATCACTCTCATGTATTCGGCGTTGTAGATAGTGTGGTCTACGTCGCCACATAAAGTGATGACGTGGAGCGGCAGCCAGCAAATGGCGTAGATACTCACAACCGTTATCATCATCTTGATTACCTGGAACAGAAGCAACAATATAGTAGGGTCATTATCAAGTAAGCAAGTAAATATTCGTAACGGTGAGTTAGGAACTGACGTATTTCATTAGAATTGTTGTTTATTAGATGAAAAACAAAACAAATACAACCCTTCAAACATTCCCTATCCTTGAATATAAAAACGGCAGCGCCTGGGAACAAACATTATTAAAAATGAAAAAGCATATTCTTACCAAGAATATGTAAACAATATACACATTTATTCAGATGGCACTACTCACCTGTACGTAAACGAGACTTATGTTATACGTTGAAGAAAATAAAAATATCATCCATAATCGAATTATCGACTTAAGAAACGACATGTTCTTGAGTAATCGACAATAGTTCCGGGTCAGTTTTACATAATATTACCTAATAATGATCGATATGTTTGACTCAGCCATTATATGTCGTTACTGAGGTACCATAATACATTGAATAAAATAACTCTTCATTTAAATGTGTCAAAGTTAGTAACTAGCACCCAGCACAAGACAGATGGACAGGTGACATGGTATTTGATATTTTCAGACTGGCTGATTATTTATAACTTGGGCCTTGATTTATGAAGAATGTTTTATGATTTCGCATTAAATCAAAACCATCAATATTTGTTCAGGTGAACATCCGTGAATCAAAACGAGAAGTTGGGGTCAGCTGGCAGACTTTGAAGAGGATGACGTAGGCCCCATAATACGAAAGAGAGGAGAGAACAGAGCCGATCTTTTAAAAAGTAATTAACGTCCTTGAAATAAAACCCTTATGATAACATACGTGTACGGTTGTTGCAGTCTGCTGATTCTAAGCCATGTATTCACTGGACATTCTGAAAGTGTATTTTGTGAAACTAACACAACATCAGGTCTCAATGCGTAAATCATAGAAGACGTATGTATCAACCACAACAGACAACACTCCCATGATGTTTCCATGAAATTGAAGTGAATATGAAGGGCCGAGAATAACTCGCTCCATAAACTATACCAAGCTAATTCTCGTCGTCATCATATAAAGTACTGAATACTACATCTATTTCTGTCCCTATCCGAGCGCTAATAAAAATGTAAATGATGTGTAAAATGCGGAAACGACTAAATGTAAATACATCACATATGTTCATTTTAATAAAATATTGCAATAATTCTGCATTTTTATATAAAAATACATGCTTTTATAGACTATCTTTAGTAGGGGTCCCAACATCACGAGAGTATATCGCTGTTTAGATGCACGGACCTAATATCACCTTCGTAGACGAAAGCACCATCAACTTGGATACTTTGTAGAAAGTGGTTTCAATGCGCTCACATAATAATCAGCCTCGATCCATCTACCGAAATAGATTCCATTTGGCGTAAAATAATAAGAATGCATCACTGCAAATCAATGATGACACCAATTGCTCACGAAAGTTGAAGATGTCTGGACTATCATGACGAAATAATCCTCCTTTCCTTAAAATTAACTTCTCTCTTTCCGAGAATGTTACAACAAATCCAATCATCTAATAAATAGCAGGATATCGATCAAAGAGGTTTCGAGTACGTAACATACGTAATGGCACAGACGTAATCCTTATATATTTCACACACATCGCGATCGATATCCCATCCCGCGGGCATTGTAGGAAACTGGTGTCTGATGCAAGATGTATGTCAACCTACAATTTTACGATTATTTATTTCTACTTCATCAACATTGTAACTTCTAGTTCAGCGAGATGGCGCCGTTCATGCGTGATTACGAGTGACGACAAATCGTTGGCAATCATATGACTGACTAGACGTGCGATATCGATATCATATGATAGATAGACTCAAGCAGCAGAACAAGGGTGCTCAGAACCTGATAGTTACTGCATTGACAGTTAACTGAACAGTCGTGAAGATGAGGACGATAACTCTTGATGGTCATTGTAAATCTGATGGTGAGTCGTGCTGTGGTCATGCTTGATGTTGGTACACAAACATGCACCCATACACACGCCTTCATTGGGTGATGTTAATGTTTCTTTACGCCGTAATGTTCCAGTATTTCCACTGCGGCCTGCACATGAAGGAGTCTGGGTAACTTCACAAGAAATTGCTAGTTTGATATCGGTGAGATGACTCGCAATCAACTAAGTCAACAAGCCTATTCAGTTGCCTCTTACGACCAAACATATGTACTGAGGATATAATTCAACCCCGACGAGGACTGACCATAGTGGTGAAGTGTGTAGGCACGAGTACTGCTTGTGTATCGCATATACATTCTTTAACCATATGGGTAAGCATTTGAGATATTACTCTTATCATAACTGTAATTAACTTGTTATGATGTTATGATTACATATCTCACGCCTGAATGAGCCCCGGTCTTAACCCTTTGAAGCATATCTGGGACATGATTGGTCGTCATGTGCGACAAAGGGATCCTCCTGTACAGAACCTGGCCCATTTGGACGCTGCTTTACCCGTGAAATGCCGTAGACTGCCCCATCTGAGGATCAGGGGGGTATGCGGAGGAGTGTGCTGGCTGTCATACAGTCACATGGTGGTTACACTCGGTATTGACCTTGAAACGTGTAAGACACGCAAAATGACATTTTGAATGTTCACATTCACCAATAAATTAAACTTTAAACATTGCAGGGCCATTCTTGTACAGACATGGTTTTGTATGAAAATCAGTGTTTTTGTAAAATGAGCAATTATTATCATAAAATCAACATGGATTCCAATCATTTTGTCGTTTCTTATGAGTCAAAGGATCATACGGGTCAGACAAATTCATGGTTTTTCCATCGTGGTCATCACGAGAAGTTTTATGTTCGTGTTGAAAACATTGCAAAAATACAAGGGGTGCTTAATTAAGTTCTTTGTGTATATATAGCTAAACCCCACTTAAGGTCCACTACACGATTAATCCAAGTAAAATGATCTTATGTGATACAGAACTACAACGGGGCGCGTTTCACAAAGCGATCGTAGCGCTAAAGTGATCGTAATACCCATACTTAAACATAGACATACGACAGTCGTAGCGCTACGATCACTTTGTGAAACGGGGCCTGGTAATAGAACTCGGCATATCGAACATGGGGAATCGACATATCGGCATATGGGGAATCGAACGCGGGTCTTCAGCGTGACGAGCGAACGCTTTAACCACCAAGCTCACCCAGACCTCCACCCTGCGTCAGTTGGATTGTACACACAGCCCTGTTTTATGGTTTCAGGATTTGGAGTTTAATATGGTCCAAACAAGTCAAAGGTTTCCTTGTCAGTTTGCCACAGGTTTGGTCTTCCGTGGTGAGCTTTGAACATATTCATATAAATCATATCATTAAAGAAACATCACTTGTGGTATTATACCTTCGCGTCTGCCCCTCAACTTCACCATAATCTTACGAATTAAACGATGACTCTTATGGTGACTGCAGCCTTACAAATTCATATCTAAGTTGTACCAAAGATGACGGTATGAGATATTGATGATACACATAATGATATACATCCGATGTCTCAGGGTGACACTTGTCATTTGGTACACCATCACGACCAGAATTGCCGTTCTCATGGGCCATTGTTACATTCAAAATGGTCTTTATAGATTTGATTTCGCTTCTTATTTGTATTACTAGTTTGTTATTATCTACTGTACGTGAACATTCATTTGTGTACAACTGTGTAATACCTACATATAAATTTATTGATAATTCAATAGAACTAAATGCTCACGGCTCGGTCCCGTTTCACAAAGCCCTCGTAAGCCTAAGATCTCGTAACTTTCCTCTTAGCATTCCTACCTCCTATACTGTAACATTGACTTACGATAGTCGTAGTGCTACGAGAGCTTTGTGAAACGGGGACCAGGCCTTCATATGGTGTCTCTCAGAAATGTCCTACTCTGTAAATCGGTATTAAACGCCACTTACTCAGTACGACCACTGGAGACTTTTTAAAACAAAACCAGAATGTCTAGTTGCAACTCTTACATATGGTAAACATTTCGAAATAATGTGTATGAAAAAGTGATTTTAAAATGGCCATATGTCTGAGAAGGATTACAGGCAGAGACACGTAGGAACAAGATTATGCATGGCTATGTTATGCAACTAAATTACTCTGGCGCTGAGAATTGAGTGGGCATGGGTATCTCTGAAAATACCACATCCTATCTTGTTACCAATGATTTTTGCATAATTGAATGTTTAAGACTTAATTCAAATCACAAAAGGATATTAAAATGATTTATAGTTGAAATAGACTCCCTGAGTAAGACATTATCCAGCTTTCGTTGACGAAAGCACAAGTAATAACTAAATAATTATTTCAAGCCTAATATGAAAAATACCTCTTTCTGACAATCTCCATTAAAAATATCAAAACATATTGATGAAAGGACCACACTGGCGCTGTGGTTCTCATATCGGAAACAGATTCTGGATCCCTAATTGAATAATATTATTGCATTTGGTGACAATTCGACACTTACGATATTCCCCCATAGCTTTAGATTGGCATTCCTGTCGTTCACTTGTCAATTACAAACTTCCCGTATGAGATAAATGATGTATAGAATCGGTATTTTGTATACATGATAGTTATATATATCCGCCATAATCGTATTATAATTAAAAAATGAGATTCTCTTCATAGGAAATAGGGAAAAAACGCCCCGACACCCAATTACCACCTGATATAGCCCTGTGACAAACACCAGGGCACTTTGCTGTCATTAACTGGAATTTATAGCCTTAATCAACACGGTAAAATGTCAGTATCTGGGAACGATAAATATACGTACATCATTCAATCTATAATTTAGAAGACTGCTTTACCTAACGGCAAATATATTCACAACATGATGACATTTGCATGGCAAGATTTCTTTAGATTGGATACTCATGGAAACGAATAAAGGGAACACATGAAAGTACAAGTGTTCCTTTATTCTTTTCCAGGTTTCTCCACAAGGTATATATTGAACTGT